GGGTAATTTTGGTAGAACTTCCCCGGAGTTTCCCGGAAAAAAAATTGGAGCTGGGAGGGCTGCACGCTCCGACAAGGGGTGGCTCGGAGATGCCAGGCCCCTCCATGGAGGAAAGCGAGGGTTGGCAGGTCCCTCCCGCCAAGTGATCCCACCGGGCAAGGGGCGAGCGCCGCCAGCGGCGGCAAGCCCCTCGCCCGCTTGCAGCGCAGTAGCATTTGCCTTCTCTGTCCTCTCAGCCTGATCGCCCCCCGCGTCCTCCGCCACTCCCCGAAACGCGCCCGCCGCGGCGCCTGTCGCGGCGCTTGCCGCGGCTGTGCCCGTCCGCCCCTGAGAGGACGCCTTGCTGCGCACCTCTGCCGCCTTCGCGCGAGCGGCCGATCGCCGATCGGCCGCCGCCTGCTGCGCCTGCTGCGCCTTCAGCAGCGCAGTTCGCGCTGCCTCGAGCCGCTCCCCGGCGGCTCTCACCGCCGCCTCCGCCGCCTCTTCCTCCTTCTCTGCTCTCAGCAGGTGCGCATCCGAAGCAGCTTTCGCTGCCTCCGCCGCATCAACTTCCGCCGCCGCGGCTGCCGCCGCCTCCGCCTCTCCCTCCGCGTTGGAGTCGTCCAGCGAGACGATGGGCAGAGTGACGGTAAGCACGCGCTTCTTCTTGTCGAACTTGGCGGTCGCCTCGCTGTCACGCACTCGCTGCGCCAGAGGCTGCACGAGGTGGTAGCCCGGGGCTGTTAGCTCGAGCCTGTCCGGCGCGAGTTGGAGGTCCAATTCACCCGCCTTGCGAAGAGAGGGGAGGGAGATGGAGACTAGGAGCAGGTCGCCCTCAGTTCTGGTCGTGGCGTCGGGGGCAACAATTGTGCCCATGAACGCAGCGGCAGGCGGGAGGCCTCACGACAAACACTATGATAACGCACGGGCCCTCAGCGGAGCCTGGGAAGCCTGGGAAGAGCCGCGAGCGGCTGGGTGGGTCGGTTGTTGAGCATCCCTCCGGGGGCCCCTTGCGCCGGGGAGGCGTTGTTGGAGGCTAGGACGCAAGCGTCCGTCGCCCTTTTCAAACTCGGGGCCCACTCCGCTACGCTCCGACCCGAATTTGGAGGGCCTGAAAAGTTTAAGGTGTTGCTGCGCAAAAGGGTGGGGAGCCGCGGCGGCGCCGCAGGCGCGGGCGCGCAGTGGAAGCACGCTAGCCATACATTCACGCAGAGAAGCTGACGGTCGGGGTCGTGACGGCTCGAGGGTGCGCACACTAGCGGCCGGACGCCTCACCCGCGGACGCCTCACCCGCGGACGCCTCACCCGCACGCGCACCCTCCAACATCGCCGCCGAGCCCAACGCCCTGCCGTCAATCTCGACGAGCGCCGCACACATGCGCGGACAGTGGGCAGACGTTGCCGCCTTGTGTCCTCGTGTGCCCGGAAAGCCTCGAGCCGGCGCGCACCGGTGGCAGCGCAGGATGAGGCGGCAGCAGTGGAGGGTTGGGGCGCATTTGAAAGCGCTGGCCCAGACGCGCCATTAACTGGGTCGGGGTGGTTCCTCACCCCTCTGGTTTCAGTCAAGCGGGAAGAGTCTGTGCAAGGGGGGCGGATGGGGCTGGCTGCGTCACCTTGGAGCATGAAAGGTTCCTACAGTAAGGCTACTCGAGTACGCAGCACCTTGCCACCTTGGCTTGGCCCCCGAGCGGGGAGGCGGTCGACGACGCGCAGCATGGCGGTGAGCGCAGCCTGACGACGCGTCTTGATGGACGGATCCTTCTGCCGGCTGACCAATTCCGCCCACCTCTTGACCGGCGGCTTCGTCACCAACATGCGCTCGAGAGGCGGAGCAGCCTCGATGCGATCCAGTTCGGTAGCTATCTTGTCGCGCAGCGCATCGTCAAAAGGCAGGTTGTTACAGGCGTCGCGCGCGTCCCCGAGGTCACGCAGGAGGCTCTCCATATGTGTTGCAATAGCCCCCGCGCTGTGGTTGCTGCAGTGCTCCCGTAAAACGAGCGATGTCTTGGCACCAGCTGAAGGCTTGCCCCCGTCCACGGCCGAGATCACATGGTTTCTGCACGGTATTCGGATTTTGCTATTTGTTCGTGTGGGGGTATATTGCAGATTTGTCAATGGTACCGCGTCTGCGACGCGGGCGCCTTGCGGGCAGAGCCCTTAGGCTTAGCCACCCTTTATAACTGCACTCCAAGTGCTCCAAGTGCGGCTACAGCGGCCGTCAGGCGACGCTCGGCTGGCGAATAAAAGAGCGAATCAGGGAGAACCGGAGCCCCGGGAAGGCGGGCGGTGGAACCCTGGGACGGGATGCTGAGTGAGGACCTGTGTACGTGCGTGGTGTACAGTGTCGTGTCTACTAGCTCCGAGTAGAGGGGGCGTTCTGAAGTTAAGGGGAAACCCGGTACACGGAACCAACCCTCGGAGACCCGTGTTTATTTTACAACCCTTTTCCTGGCTCACAAGCTAAAGATGTTCACGGGCCCCCACACGGAGGAGCCCCGGGTACTCTGCATAGCACGCGCCAGTTCGCACCTGCCTGTGTCGAGCCTGTCTGCTGTGAGAGAGAGTTCCGTTGTTTAAATTCTTTCAGCTCCGTGCCCAGTGTTGTGATGGGCGCTCGTAAAATTCTTTCAGTCCGCGCCAGTCCGCGCCCTTGTCGTGCCAGTGTGCTGTGAGAGAGGCTTGCATTTTACGAATTCTTTCGCTGCTTCCGGCAATAAGCGATCGTCGAGCAGCATCGCGAGCTGCGTCCCCTCGCCATGCTCAAGACCGACTCCAAGTGCCCCGTGATGCGGCTCTTGTGCTTCTTGCTCCTCACGCTGCCCAGCACCGTGGCCTCGTTGGCGCGCACCGCCCAGCGCTCGCCAGCAGCGAGCACCCGGCTCTCTGGCGCTATTCGCCCCGCCTCGCCGGCGGGCGTGCTCGGGAGGCGGTCGTACAGGGCGCGCGCAGGGCGTTTTCGCACCTCCCCGCCGCTCTGCGTCCGTATGATGTGCGGCGCGTGCGGGGGGGAGAGCCCAGGTGGCGGCGCCGAACGACATCATAGCGGGTCGGCAGAGGAGGACGACTGCTTGGGAGCGTCGATCCGCGAGCTGGGGGAGCTCGCCCAGCCCCTTGTCCGCGGCGGCGACCTGGGAGCTGCGCCCTTTGCGCCCGGCTCGTTGCCGGAGCTGCCTGGCGGGCCCGTGCTGATCCTAGGGGCCGGGTGGGTCGGCTCGCGGCTGGCAGCGCGCCTGAGCCAGGAGCGCTGCGCGCGCGTCGCGGTCACAAACCGCCCCGACTGGCGCTCGCGCCAGAAGGAGGCGTACTTCGCCCCGGTGCCCCTCAACCCGCCGCCCGTCTCGCGGCACGCCTTCGACATTGATGCTCCGGAGACGTGGGACGCGCTGCCAGAGCCCGAAACTCTGGGCGCCGCGGTGCTCACGTTTGCGGCGACGGCGGATCAGCTGCGCCCCTTTTGGGAGCGGTACTTGCGGAAGGTCCCGCGCACGGTCGCCTACTCGTCGACCGCCGTCTACCGCGTCGACGTTCCAGGGCAAGAGGTGGACGAGACCACCCCGCTTCGGCCAACCGCACGCGCCGCCGCCGACGCGTTCCTGCTGCAGCGCGGCGCGACGGTGCTCACGATCTCGGGCATCTTTGGCGAGGCGCAGGACGCGCGCGGCGTGTGCACATGCTTCGCCGCATACGCCTCCGCGGGCGGCGCGCTCAACGGGCAAAAGAGCGTCAACATGGTCCACGTGGACGACATCATCGCGGCGACCGCGCACGCGCTCGCCGCCGAGGCTCGCGCTCTAGAATCGAAGAGCGGGGGAGACGTGGGGGGAGATGTGGACCCGCACTCCGCCGTACTCCGCCGTACTCCGCCGTATTCAGCTGTATTCACTGCACTCGTACCCCTCGTATTCACGCGGTGCTCTGAAGACGCTGCACAAGACTGTTCCCGCCCCGAGGTTGGCGAATCCACCGTGCAGGACGCTCTCGTGGCCGGGGCGAGGCTGAATGTGGGCGGCGGCGTCTTCAAGCTGCACGAGCTCATGAGCCACTGCAAGTACCCGCAGGCAGCGGAGGCGGCTCACGCCAGGGATGACACGGACCTCTCCTCGAAGGCGGTCCTCTCCACGAGACTGCTACAGACGGTGATGCCACGCGACTTCAGCTTTGTGCCGCCGCTCGAGTCCGCTGCCGCCGCCGCCGCGCGCCGCGCCGCTCTCGCCCCCGATGCCGTCGGCCCTTCTCCCGCCGCTAGCCCAGCAGCCGATTCGGCGTGACTTGCGTGGAGGCAGCGCAAACCGGGTACCGGCCCCGCGGTGAACTTGGCGAACGCCGTCGCCATGGCACAAGACAACAACTTACAAATCTCCGTCAGACGACCTGTGTTTCTTGTGATTCGTGCCGTACAACAGACCGAGAGAATTCCTACAAAGGATGCTCTTCCCGTGACGAAAAACGAACACACACCAAGCGAGCTAAGGCTAGTGCCATTTCACTGTGGCGGTGAACCTTCTTTTCTAGACCGGAAGGATGAGAGC